CTAAAGCATATTTCAACAAGGGGATGTCTGATATGTATTTTAAAAATATGTTAATTTTTATTAATTATAATATTTATAATTAATTTTATATAAATTTTATATTAAATTTATATTTTTTTAGATTTTGAGTATAAATATATTATATTTTAATTTATATATTTTATTTTATTTTAATTATATTTGATATAAAATTTTATATATAATTAATTACAGATACTTCATTAAATAAAACTTAACATGTGCTTTAAGAATACAATTTAAGTTATGTGCCTTAAAAGCACAAGTTAGAAAATTTCATTAAAAATTTATAAAAATAACAAACTAAGAGTGCTTAGAATTTTTTAATATTTTTATTAAGAAAATTTAAAACAATTCTAATATATACATAATAAGGGAGGAGAGAGACTTAGGTAAAAATAAGATATGATAATAAATAGAAATGTAAGAAGTGACTAAAAAATAATCATATTGAAGGAATAAGTATAATGAAAGAAAATTGATAACAAATAGTTAATGATAAAATGAGAGTCAATGTAGCATAGATAGATAAATATAATGATAAAAAGAAAGAGAATAAGGGAGAGATGAAGTCTTTGGAAAAATTAATGAAAGGTGAAGAATAGATAAGTGAAAAAGTATCAAGAGGAAAAAATGGTACTTCCTCCATTCATTTTTATTAGATCTAGTTCGATTTTTTTGATTTTTTAAATATGAATTTCATATGAAATTTTAACATATTATATAAATGATAATTAAAATTTTTTTATCAAATAAAAATATTTGACAAAAACTTTATATATGGAAAAAATATTTTAATTGTTGTTTGTATAAATCGTTAAATTTTCAATTGAAATTTATATCTTAAAAGTCAAAAAGTCAAATTAGATTTATTAAAAATGAACATAGAGAGTATAAAAAATATGTTTTTTTAATAAAAAATAATTAGTATATCCTCCAGTTCGATGTATATATCTTTTAACATTTATCCGATTCAACCATTATAATATAAGTATAGTTAATTTAGTTGGTTCCTACATACTGTATGCTTGACTACATCTTTAAGTTTGCCTACTTTTAATTTTAGATAAGAAAATAACGACTTTTAATAAGAGTGTTATATTGTGTATTGAACTGGAGGATATAATAATTATTATTCTATTTGGATAGATAAAGATTTAAAAGAATGATTAAAAATAAATGATAGAGATTAGAGGATAATGAAAGAATGAATAATTACAAATAATTTAGAAATATAAAGAGGCAAAAAGGAGAAATAATGACATATATGAGTAATAATGGTATGAAATAAAGAAAAAGGATAAGGAGGGAAATAATAATAATAAATAAATTATTAATATAAAAAGAGAGAAAATAAGGCAAATATATGTAGATAAATAAATATAATTACAAATATATTTAAGTAAGTTAAGAGATGGTGTCATAACAAAAACACAAAAAAAGTGGAGTGTATGTAATGAGAAGATACCATGAGAATAATGCTAATAAATTATGCTTTGCATTTAAACCTTCTAATGTGGATATTTGAGAAAGAGGAAACAAATTAGGGTGAAAAAGACATATATAGTAATAATAGTTATAAATATAAAGATAGAAAAAATTAATGAAGATTTGATGAATTGTTGTATAATGTTTATCTTAAAAAAAATTTAATTAATATAAAAGTTAAATATCTACTTATAATAAATTAATATATATTTTAAATCATTTTTATAATTATTAATTAAAAATTAATTTTAATTATAACTTAATATTATTATTTTTTTGAATAGTTTACAATTTTGTATAACTTAATATTATTATTTTTTTGAATAGTTTACAATTTTGTGAATTAGGGGAAAATGTGATACTTGAAACCCCAATCAATAAACTCAAGCATCTTAAAATTTAAGACGAATCATTTAATCCGAAAACCTGATTCTAATATTATTATATTTAACAACTATTAACAAAATACAATAGAATGAACCACACCTAAAGCGGCTTAAGAGTCTAGGATATCTTATCACAAGGTATATTCCAAATTATGTAAGGACCAAGTAAAATTTGTACCCGATGTGAGTCAGATTACAACATACGCCACTCCAAACGGAGTGTACCTAACAGCCTACGCTAGTTAGAATACAAGTACTCAAAATCAAAAGTTGCTAGCATTCTAGAGAGCTACTATTTGTTTGATATTTATTGTGAGGTTATTTTCATATTAGTTTTTGTATATTTTAAAATTATTTTGTGATTTTAAAAGTATATTTCTTATATTAGTGTGTTGTTTTTAAAAGAAATTAATATTTTTAAATATTAATTTTAAGATTTAAACTTTAGACTTTAAATGTTAGTTATAAAATAATATTTATTTATTAATAAATATATTCCTTAAGTTAATTTTAGAAAATATTTGAGATGTAAAATCAAAATTATATTATAAAACTAAAACTATTAGATGGAAAGACTATATTATAAAATCAAAGCTATTAAATGAAAAGACTATACTATAAAATCAAAACTTTTACATGAGACTATGTAACATATTACTAACATAAAAAATTATATAATTATAACATTATATGATATTATAAATTTATTATATAATATTTCATAATTAATTTTTTATTTAAAAAATTTATTTATAATGTTATATATTTTTATTTATTTAATAATATATCACACCTACTTAATATCTAATTATAATTATAAACTTATTTTTTTACATAATGTTAATATTATTACCATGACATTTTCAATTCAAGCAAGCTAAGTACTCATATTTTTTTTTACTGTAAAAATTATGATTAATAAATTAATATTTATTCGAATACCAATAAAAAAAATTAATCTAATATTCATATGCTGCGCTTCACCTTACTTTTCACACAAAAAAATTGTAACCATTTAAACCACACGGGAAGTGTAGCTAAGTGCTCATATTAGTTGCACGTGGTGGTTTTAGTTGTTATTTACCAGTGTGAGTGGCAGTTGGGTTTCAACTCCCTTACGGTAAATAGGTGTTTGAGAATGAGAAGTCTTGTGAAAATAGGCGCCTGTATTTTTTTTTTTTTTAACAAGGTAAAATTTTGAAAAAAAATATTATAATTGTTTTAATAGAGATTTAAATTTTAATATGAGTAAAAATATTTGAGGTACATGGTCAGCTCACCAGAATTTTATGTTTTGAGGTTAGTGCTGTACTGATTGTCTTTTAATTTTGTTTAGAGGATTTGCTTAAGTATTCTTAATTTACATTGTAATTTTTTTTA